AAAAAAAAAAAAAAAAAAGAAAAAGAAAAAGAAAAAGAAATTTCAAACTATTTTCCAAAGGAGGTGTACCATTTTAACATCAACAGTGTGAGAACTTGCTTTTTCTGTACATCCCTGCCAACACTTGGTATGGCTGGTCTTTTTATTTTTAGCTATTCTAATGGGTACGTAGTAGTATCACACGGTGGTTTTAATTTGCCTAATGATTCCTGATACTGAGTTTTTCTTATGTGCTTACTGTCATGTGCATATCTTCTTTGGTGAGTGAACATAAGTCCTTTGTTTGATATTCACATTGAGAATATTTTTTCCTGTCTGGCTTGCTTTTTCATCTCCTTAATACCATCTATTATTGTCCCCACAAACTTTTTGTAAAGCATCAATGATTTCATCTTTTTTCTATGCAACCTTCATCAAGGAGGAGAAATTTTTAATTTTGATCTGTCAATTTTATCTTTTATGGTTTGTGCTTTTTGTGTCTGAGAAATCTTTGCAAGGCTCAAAGTCATAAAGATTTTTTTCCTATATTTTCCTCTAGAAAGTTTTTGTAATTTTAAATTTCACATTTCAGTCTGAGTCATTTCAAGTTAACTTTTGCTTATAGTGTGAAGTTAGGTTTGATGTTTACTTTTTTCCATATGCACACGGCACAATTTGTTAAAAAGACCTTCCCTTCCTCCAAGAACTGACCATATGTGTATGTATGGATCAACTGAATGCTCTATTCTATTCCATTGATCTATATATGTGGGGGTCTTCAAAAAATTCTTCAAAAATACAAATTATGAAAAGCTATGCATAGATTTCAAAAATTGTTTGCACCAAAATAAACTCATACTGTTATAACATGTCTGAACAGGATCTAATCGGAGGTACTAAGAAGGATAAGTTTGAAAAGAGCCCCTATCAGAGCAATCTGAATTCTGAAGCAAGAACAAACAACAAACTTAGGGTGAAGGTTGGGTAGAAGAATGGTGAAATCATTGGTGCTTTACTAAAAGTTTAGGGGGAGAATATCCCAAAGAAACCAGCAGTTTACAAATGAATAACTCATTTTAAGGGGTGAAATGGTGTCCATGGTGAAGTCTGCAGTAGGCTACCATTCATATCAATTTACAAGGAAAACAGAAATCTTGTGGCTCAGCACCCGTAGCACAATGGTTACGGTGCCAGCCACATACACCAAGGAAACCAAGTTTGAACCCAGCCCAGGCCAGCTAAATGACAATTGACAACTGCAACAAAAAAAAAAAGCTAGGCATTGTAGTGAGTGCCTGTAGTCCCAGCTACTTGGGAGGCTGAAGCAAGAGAATCACTTAAGCCCAAGAATTTGAGGTTGCTGTGAGCTGTGACGCCACAGTACTCTACCGAGGGCCACATAGTGAGACACTTATTTTAAAAAAAAAAAGTAATCTTGTTTGTGTGCTAATTGAAAAGGATGAATGATTAACAGCAGAAACAATATCCACCACCATATACATCTCAATTGATTCCGTTTACACAGCTGTAACTGAAAAATTAAAGTTGAGCAAACTTTCCACTAAATGGATCCAAAACTATTGCACCCAGACCAACCACAGATAAGAACAGAGCTTTCAATGGAAATTTTAAAAAAGATCCTGAAGCATTTTTTCAAAAAACTGTTAACAGGAGACAAAACATGGCTTTACCAGCATGATTGTGAAGACAAAGGAAGAGAGAAATACATATGAACAGAGTATCTCTAGTGGTTATCTCTGGAAAAATAGGGAACTACAGATGAAGAGTAGGAAGGAAATTTACTTTTCATCATTATATAACTTAAGTATTTCCAAAAAAAAAAAAATGGTCAGGAAACTTAATAGATATAACAGATAAAATAAATACCCCATAGTACACTATAGAAAAAGACAAAAAACTCTGTGAAAAATAGGTAAGGAGTAAGAATAGACAATTCACAAACGATGAAATGTTAATGTCCAGTAAAGCATATGAAAAGATGCTCAACCCCACCAGTTATGAAGAAAATATAAATAAAAAAATAGTTTCATTCATTAGATTAGCAAAAAACTTAAGACCAGTAATATTCAATTTTGACCAGTATGTGGAAGCTATTTTATAGCATCTGTTCAAAGATAAGAAGCATGTATATCCTTTTACCAAGTGATTCCACTTTTAGGATGCTATTCTAAATAACAGTACCTGTACAAAAGGATACGTGCACAAATATCTTTATGGCAGCACTATTTGTACTAATGAGTACCTGGAAACAACCTGAGTGCCATCAACTAACTAATGACTCTATGTTGTCTGATATGTAGCCATAAGCTCATATTATTTTTGTAATTGAAAAAAATTAAATAATGAGAAAAAACGTAAGAGAAATCAAACACTAACCTGAAGTTACTTTCTTCCTCTTTTTCCTGTTTTTCTCCCTCTTTCCTTCAGTTAGGCTCTCTTCTTTTTTCTCTTCATTTTGGAGCTCCTGATGTGTTTGTGATGCTCCACACTCACCTGGGAAAGACTTCTTGCTTCCAAAAAAGTCCAGTCCCTGCAGCACCTCTGAAGAATCAAAGTCATACTTCCTTTTTCCTATCTAAAACCCAAAACATTTAAAATAAATTCTGACAGAACAGCATTGCTTTTCATTCAAGCAAGATTGGCAGAAAGGATATAGGTCCAATGACTGCCCACCTTTTTTCCTCTTTCTCCAAATATCTACCTCACTGACAAGTGTTTGGCAAATGGAATCCAAAAAGACACCTTTTCTGACCTCTTAACAGTAAGAATAATAATAGCAGCGAACACTTATGTATACTTCCTATATGTTAATCAGATGTCTAAGCACGCTTATACATGTTAAATTATTTCATCCTCACAATCCTACAAGATAAACAGCAGTATTAAACAAAAGAAAACCGAGGTAAATGGACATTAAGTAATTTAAGCAAGGTCTCAAAACTAGGAACTGGCAGGCTCGGCATTTGGACCCAGATAATTTGGCTTCAGAGTTCATACTCTAAACAACGACATTATACTACCAGTTAGAGAAAGAAGAAACACATGTCACACGCATAAACAAAAATCCCTGTCCCAATAGCAATGTTGATTGAAAATTTTCTACAACTGGGTCCCAAATGATTTCTCCCGATTTATCTTTCAAAACTTGACTGTGTAAGACACCCCATTTCTAAATCTCTCTTTTCAGTAGTTACTTAACATTCCATGGGGTTGAAGCAATAAAAAGAACTATACCCAGTACAACTACATGCATCCCAAACCAACCATCCCAAACCGACCATGCATCCCAAGCTAACAACCATTTGGGTTGTTTCTGTTTTCGAAAAAATTTTCACCAGTTTCGGAGAAAAAAGTTGTTTGTGGAAGGACCCCAACTTAGCTTTAAATAAACTAAGAGGACAGGAAAGAGTTTCTGTGCTAGGCCCAACTAGGTCTACGATAGGATAGAAAAGCGTTCATTGTAAGGCTTGAACGAGGTAGATCTGTGGGTAAGCTGAACAGAAAATGAAGGGGAACAGCACAAGGATGGTCAGAATCAGGCCACGGGGTATCCGAGTGCGAAGGTTCCCCCAAGTAGCCGCTTCATTCTCGGGATCTTGTTCCTCCTCAGTAACAGGGGCCTGGCTCTCCTACCCATCATACCTGGAATCTAGCTGCATCTGCCGAGAAGCGTCTCACGTCAAATTTGGCCCCGGTTCCGAGCCGGCGAAAGAGATCGTGGACGTCCATCTTTTACCCAGAGGGCCCCCGCGGGTCTCCGGCGCCTGCGCAGACGACTTCCTTTGCGCGACGGCGCGGCTGGCGGCGGAAGTGGCTCCCGGGGGCGGAGCCTGGCTGTGGTGGGGCTCTCTGGCGATTACTGTCGCGTAATACGTCATTATTTGTAAATGATTTTTTTTTTTAAATGTATAACTATCCTTTTATGCTGGGCACTATTCTAGATCTTGGAGATACGTTGGCAAACAGCGCCCCAAAATTCCTCTTCTTAGGAAGCTTACGCTTTAGTGGGGACGATAGAGATAACAAATACACAAGTAAGAGTAATTACTTAGGCTTGGTACCTGCAGCTCAGCGGTTAGGGCGCCGGCCACGTACGCAGGGGCTGTCGAATCCCAACCCGGCCCGGGCCTGCCAAAAAAACAATGACAACTACAACAAAAAAATAGCCGGGCGTTGCGGCAGGCGCCTGTAGTCCCAGCTACTTGGAAGGCTGAGGCAAGAGAATCGCTTAAGCCCAGGAGTTGGAAGCTGCTGTGAGCTGTGACGCCACCGCACTCTAGCGAGGGAGACATAGTGAGACTCTGTCTTAAGAAAAAAAAAGAGTACTTATTTACTCTCTGAAAGTAAGTGCTATGAAATAAACAAGGTGTAAATAGAAAAGAGGGTGGGAGGCTACTTTTAGCTCTATTAAATTCGCTTTGTTTAAGTGATCCTTGAGGCAAGAGGGGGCAACTTTTCCAAGATCTGGGAACAGCATTCCAGCTAGGGGAAACAGGTGCCTCTAAGAAGGGGGAAAGGTTTGGAACAATGAAGGAATTGAATGAATGCCAGTGTGACTGGAGCCAGGTTGCAATGGAAGAGTAGTACAGATAAGGTTGGGCACAGAAACCAGATTTCACAGAATCTCGTAACGAAGTCACGATAAGGAATTTGGAATTTAATCTAAACACCCTGAGAAACTATTCAAAAAATTTTATGGAGAGAGCGACATGATTTAATTTATCACATTTATTTTTTATTTTCTTCCTTGCATTTGTACTGTACAAAATTATGTACTTGCTTATTGCCCCTCTCTATTCTGGAATGAGTGTCCCAGAGCACAGGGATCTACTTTGCTTCAATGTTGTAGCCCCAGTTCTTGTGTGTTCTCAAAAACTGTTTCCTGAATGAATAAAGGATTACTCTGGCTAAAGCTAAATGGAAAGCTAAGAATAAAAACCAGAGACCAGTCAAAATAGGTAAGATGTGGGTGCCTTGGTCTAGGTTGATGTCTGTGTTGATGGAGATTAAATGGATAGATTTGGGGAATATTTTGGAGGTAGATCTAAATGTACCTCATGCGGAGGTGAGGGAAAGGGAGGGATGAAAAAATCACTCCTGGGTTTTGGCTGGGTAGATGGCCTGCAATTTACTGTGCTAAGAAAGACTGAGAAGAATGGCTTTTTGATAAAGGTGAGACTGGATTTTAAATGGAAGTGGCCAAGTCCATAGCTGGTTCTGAGTTTGAAGTTCAGGGCTAGAGAAGTAAATTTGGAAGTCATCAACATAAAAATGGTACAGAGGAGTTATACCATACAAGCATTTAACTTACTAAAATTCAGTTATACGTAGCCAAAGAGAATGAGAAATACTTGAAATAGCAGGTGATTCCTTTATATTCAGGGAAAGTGTGTGTGGAATGATTATGAGATTGGGGGTGGGGTGGGATGTGACTCTTTTTTTCCCCTGAGGTGGACACAGTCCCTGACTCCTCATACTGTGAGTATCTTGCTGTTACAAATGTGTCTAGTCTTTAAAAATAGAAATTTCCCAAGTACTTTATTGCTCAACAAAAACATTTTGTTTCAACGTGAGAGGAAAAATCAATTGTTTGGGCTTATGAATGTTTCAATCTTTAATTTGGCACATGAATACATGTATGGCCACAGCCATGTATGAAATTATGACTACTATGCTTTAAAACATTTCAGGGAATTTTCAAAAAAAGGTGAACTTTATGAGATTTGTTTTTCTTTATGAACTGACTTTAGAACCCAATTGTTAGGTAAGTGGTGACAAACCCATATCCACATGAATGTGATTACTTAGAGAAAATGTGTGAATATAGAAGAGAAGGGGACCCAAGACTGATCCTTATGGTATTAAATCATTTACAGGTCAGGTAGAGGAGGAGATGCTCTTAGAACATGAGTCTAAGCCAGACAGGGAGCAACCAGTGAGATATTAAGACCAGTAAGACCAAAGCCAAAAGGGAGTTTCAAGAAGGTAACCATTGAGAGCTGAGGACAAGAAAAGATAGCTGCATTTGCCACATGGAGGTCACTGGAGTCCCTGATAATATCAGTTTCAGGGGGCATTTGGTAGGTAGAAATGATTAGGTACTGAACATGCAGAGTGAAGAGTGATGAAGCTAACTCTTACCAGAGGTTTAGCTGAGAAGGAAGGGTATCAGAGAAGTGGGTGGTAGCTGAAGGCAAATGTGGTTTTGCTTTTTGTTTTTGATGTATTTAAATATAGGCACTAGGGGACGTTCATAAATTGTATAGAAAGATCTGGTGGAAAGGTATAAGTTTTTGATGCAACCGAAAAGGGAGAATTCTGTCAGAGGGTGTTGGAGGGTTGAGTAAAGAAGAAATGATATAAAGTAATATTCTCTAAGAGTGAGAAAATTAACTTACTTGGCTCGGCGCCCGTAGCACAGTGGTTAGGGCACTGGCCACATACACTGAGGCTGGTGGGTTTGAACCCTGCCAGGCCAGCTAAGCAACAATGACAACTGCAACAAAAAAATAGCCAGGCGTTGTGGTGGGCGCCTGTAGTCCCAGCTACTTGGGAGGCTGAGGCAAGAGAATTGTTTTCACCCAAGAGTTTAAGGTTGCTGTGAGCTGTGACGCTACAGCACTCTACAGAGGGCAACATAGTGAGACTCTGTCTCAAAAAAAGAAAAAAAAATGAACTTACTGAGGAAAAGTAGTAGTTGAGCAATGAATGCCCATTTGAGATTTGAGACAATTAATTTAGGAAGGAACAAGTTAGCAGTCATTCAGCTGCTTAGATAAGGGTGTAAAAAAGTTTGTGATGTTGGACTTACCCAAGGGTAAAGTTTTTCCAGGTAAATATAGCAGGAGTTATGGCAGAGTTCTGCTCTCTTCCCATCCCCTCCCCCAAAAGGCCCTGGGATTTTTAGCCTTTTAGGACCCAAGAAGGAAGACAAAACACCTAGAAATGGCCCTGTCTATTATGAATAATACTTTGGATTATATTAATAACCCAATTTGCTTTCCTCCTTTCAGAGGAAAGAAGTATTGAGTATTGAATATGTGCTATATACTTTACCTTTATAAGTATAGACTGGGAATTATACAGATCTGAATTTAAATCCCTCCCAGTTTCTGCACCTGTTAGTTCTGACCTAGTCAAATTAGCCTCATTTGTAAAATGAAGATTATGATACCTACTTGAGAATTTTTTTGAAGCTCATAGGCAGTGGTATGTAGTGGAAAGGACCACGGGTTTGGGGCATCAGAGAGACTTGCATTTGAACTCAATTATGTCATTTAATATTTTTGATACTCTCGGATGGGTTATTTCATTGTTATATGCTTCAGTTTCCTCATTGGTAAAACAGAGATTATCGGGTTGTAATCTCTACTTTGAAGGCTAGGAGTAGCATAATTATTCACCACACAGGATCAAAATGCTGGAGATGAGTCAGGATACTAGATATATATCAAATCCTACTATATGTAGATTGTAGTTATTTGGAACAAAGTCTCAAACATAAGAGGTACCTAATAAATATTAGTCATTTTCCATCTTTCAGTCTCCTTCTGAGAGCAGTAGTTCTTGATCCTAACCACACATTAGAATCTTCAACGAATTAAAAAAAAGAAAAACAGAAGAAAACTGGGTCCCACCTCCCAGAAATTTTGGCTTAGTTGTTCGAGAGTAACTCTGTAGTAATTTTTGAAAGCTTCTCAAGTGATTCTAATTGCAGTCAAGGTTAAGAAACACTACTGGAACTATATTTCTTTCTTCTTTTTTTTTGGCTGGAGGCTGGGTTTGAATCTGCCACCTCCAGTATATGGGGCTGGCATATACCCCTTTGAGCCACAGGCGCTGCCCCTGGAACTGTATTTCTAAAGCACAAATGGAACTATCTTGCTTCTCTGCTTAAAAACCTGTCATGATTCCCCATTGTCTTCTGAATGAAGCCTGTAACTTGTTTTTTGTTTTGTTTTGTTTTCTGAGACACAGTCTCACTTTGTCACCCTTGGTAGAATGCTGTGGTGTCATAGCTCATAGCAACCTCAAACTTTTGGGCTCAAGCGATTCTCTTGCCTTAGCCTCCCGAGTAGCTGGGATTACAAGCATCCTCAACAATGCCCCAGTATTTTTAAAGACTAGGTCTCGCTCTGGCTCAGGCTGGTTTTTAACTGCTGAGCTCAGGCAATCTAACCGCCTCAGTCACCCAGAGTGCTAGATTACAGGCGCTACACACCATACCTGGCCAAACCCCTGTAACTTGTATGCTGGGCCCTAACAGTGGTTCTCTACCTTTTTTTCTGTTTCAGCACTCTCTGGAAGTAAGACACTCCCACAAACACCTTTGCCTTGGACTCAACTCTCAGTCTTATCATTAGCTGCGTGACCTTAGGCAAGTTATTTATCCTCTCTAAGCTTCACTTTCTCATCTCATTTTAGCTTTACTTCTAATTCTGAAGCTTTGTACGTATTTTTCTTTCTTCTTGGAATGTCCTCTCTCCTTTTCCTCCCTTGCGAACTCCTTACATTCTTCAAAATTCAGTTTACATGTCCTCTCTTGCCCCAAATGTCCCTTCCTTGACGTAGCCCATCTTTCTTTGAGTCCTTATACCACTTTGTAAGGACCTCTATTTTAGTTTTTTTCCTATTGCATTGAAATGCTGTTTCCACATTTGTTCATATACTTTGAGCTTTTGAGGGGCTGTGCCCATGCCTCAATTATCTTCATATTATATTTTCTTTGCATGAAGACTGTTTCATAGTAAGCGGTCAATAAATCTTTCTGAATTA